CGGTGCTTCCTCCCGCTTCCTTCCCGTCGCTTCCCTTCCATCGCTTCCCTTCCATCGCCGGTGCTTCCTTCCCGTCCCTTGCGAAGCTGTGCCCTAGGGTCGTCTCACCGGTGCTCCCTTCTCGCATCACTCTCAGCAGGTAAATCATTGCTATATGCTTGCTTAAACTGATTCTTCAGATGCATGATCATAGGAATTTTGCTATTTCTAGTCAACTTCTATATGCTGTTTTATGATTCTGGTTGATATATAGTTGAAGTTCATGGTATACACTATGATCATATTATGTCCAAATCCTGCAAACCAAACACAAGAATGGATTTTAAATCCAATCCAATCCAAATCCAGGGCCGTTCCTGGGGGAGGGCGGGCCGGGCGTACGCCCAGGGCCCATAAAAATTAGGGGCCCAATTTTTTAATATATATAATAGTAGTTCAAAAAAATAAATATATATAAGACAAGTAAAAAATTAGTATCTAATATGACAAGAAAATATTTTTATACTACATTAACTATTAAAGACCCAAACATGTATGAATTAAATATATTGGAGAAAAAAATACATAAAGATGTTATTATGTCGTCCATTATATAATATTGTTTAATATTTTTCTAAGTTTTTTGATCTAAAACCGACGTCTAAAACTATTTGCTTCGAAAAACTTTGATATATTATCCATAATTTATCTCCCATCGACTCCTTGATTGTTTCATTCTTGCGTGAATTCTATTTTTATATTAGAATATAATAGATTTTTTTGTTATTAGCTAACAAAACCCCCATCTTTTGAAAAAATTACCAACCATATAAAACGGTACAACTCATTTCTATATTTAGAATAATAAAACTATAATTGTTTTTTCATAGTTGTTCTTTATTATCTAATATTTAGTGTATAAATCTTATGTACTATTCTATCTCTAAAAGAAGAATAAGATCTCAAACTATTACCAACATGAGTTTTTTAATTTATATAATTGATGATTCCATAAAAGTTTGTTTTAACTCTAACTCTATGTTCTTGAGTCTTCTTCTACGTAGGAAAGAGAGGAAAGTAATAGTGGAAGAAAAATATTATGTTCCTTAGATTTTTTAGAGAAAGAGAAGAAAAAGGAAAGAAAAAAATTTATATCAAAATTTATTTTTATTTTATTATTTTTCCTTCATCTCTCTTCTCTATTAAAAACACAAATAAAAAAACTTAATTTTTCTTCTTTCCAAATTCAAAAACAAAATATAAAAGTTTAAAATAATGTTAATTATCCCAAATTCGAAAACATAGTATAAAAGTTTAAAATGGTGTTAATCTTCCAAAATTCGAAAACATAATATAAAACTTTAAAATGATGTTAAAAAACATTAACATAAGATGACATGGAAAACCAGCCTATTTACATTGATTTACGTAGTGTCACTCGGAAATCAGAAAAATCGACTTTGTGACTCCAAATGATATATTCTATGTACCAAAAGTATATCATAAGATGTTTTTGATGATGAAACAAATTACTGATACTACATAAAAATGTTCTAGTAGATAATATTAATTTAGAAATGAATATTGATTGATTATGCGTCCAGGAATACTTTGAGAAACAGTTTTATATGAATTCAACGTTATTTCTGATGATAAAAACAATATATTGAAAAAATATCGTACTTATCAAGGGCCCCTTTTTACATCTCGCCCAGGGCCTAAAAAATGTCAGAAACGGGCCTGTCCAAATCCCATGGAATCCAAATCTCTTCTGGGAATCCAAATCCCTCAGAAACATTCATGCAAACCAAACGCACCATTAATTGTTATGCCTCTTACTGAATAAGAGTCTCTATCTTTTCTAAGTGATATCGTCAAACGTTTACCCGACAGGTATAATAAACAATTAGGTATTTACACATTTTCAAAATTATATATCATTTTTATCATAAACATTTATTTTGATACCTGAGTAGAAATAAAATAACGAAATTTACATTAAAAATTGATTTTCCATCAAAAAATTCCCACAATAATTAATTACATATTGTTTTTGAGCATTTATTAATTATTCCCAAGGCTACAATCTTGGGAAAATCGTTCAAAATTCATCATGAGAAAGACGAAACTGCCCTCGAACAAAAAGGCAATTAGTTTATTTTTCTAGGGTTTTGAGCGACGGCCGGAAGTACCACCGGCTTCCGCCGTAAGAGCTGCCATGGAAACAGATGATCGAACAAGATAGCGACAACCCTTTAGAACAGATATCGGCAGCAAGCCAAATCAGATTCTAGATGATAATTTAGCATTTTAAAATCTACAAAGCCAGTTAGGGTTCTACGAAAATCTCTAGAAATGCATCGACAAACATGAAAGAGAACAACAATAACATAAAAGACTAGATGACAACCCTAATTTTTTCTGATTCGGTTGGAGTAATTTCTTCAATTTGAGAGCAAACCCAGAAAATTTCAAGACTTCCCTTCATGATTTGGGATAAAACCCCTGAAATTTGAAGTCATAGAATTACTTGAATCCATGGAAGTTTCTAAGGTAGGGGATTCTTCCTCGGCCTACCTCTCTTTTTAGGGACCGTAGCTCCGGCGGTAGGAGTTGGCTTTTTCTGTGGAACTGTAACCGGTTTCGACCGTGCAACTGGTGGCGTTGGGGATACAAAACTCTCGCCAGGTTCTGCCAACGCCACTCTGCTGCCGTTCGGCAACGAATCGGCTGACGGCCATGCTTTCGCATTCGTCGGGAACATCGGCGGCATCCAATTTGGGATGGTGAGGCTCTTAGCTGTCTCGGAGTTCGCTGCAAAACCCATCGGAAAATACCCCATACAACAGTAGTACGCTTCTTTCCCTGGAATAGTCGGCGGCAACGAAGCCGGTGGTATCGCCACCGCCTGAAACGCCCGCTTACAATTACTACATCTCAGGCAACAACCCGCGTACATATTAGGGTACTCGTATAAATTATAACAGTAAGGACACGCCGTCCATATGTTCGCCCCCATTTGATTCGCTGCGTCGGCAGGGTTACGCCTCACAGGGATCTTATCCCGCTGAATCGGGTGGTTCTGATCCTCTTTCTCTCTCTGTTTCCTCATGGAAACTAGATCCACCTTCGAGAAAGCAAATAGCTCGTTATCATAAGCAGATTTCCTCGATGCATCCGACAACAAAGCCCACGCATCTGCGACGAGTTTGAACGCTGCATCGGCAAAAGGGAACCTATTCTTATCTGGATGCAGAAGAAGGGCAAGCCGACGATACTGGCGTTTAATGAGGTCGTCATCGTTCCGGCGACTATCAAGCTGAAGGATGCCGTACCAGTCAGGGTTGTTGTTGATCCGTTTGTCGGCGGCGATGAGTACGTCAACAACGGCCAAGATCTGGTCGGAACCGTCGAGCAACGGCTCAGTCTCTTGTGCTAGAAGAGCGAAATCTCGACACCCATTTAGATCTTTGCCTTGTAAGAGCTTCTCCGCGATTCCGAGCAAGCGCTCTGCTTCAGCTCTGCTCGTCGATTGCATCTCTGTGATTTGCTCAGGCGAAACGAGGGTTTTGAATTTGTTCTTGTCGCAACGGAGACAGAACGATGGATGGTGGAAGATGAGTTGTTGAAGATGATTTTTTTTAATTTTTTTAATTTAATTTTAATTTCACTTTGTTGGGGTGAAATGAGGGCAAAATATTGCGCTCCCCTTACTTTATAAATAAGGATTTTAGATTATAAATTGTAATATTTTAAATATAATTTGACAGAAATTTAATTGAATATTTAAGGAAAAATAAATACTATAAATTCATATTATATTTAATTGGATA